TCAATAAAGATCGAAACGTTGGCACGATAAAGAAAATGTTTTTCTGAAACCTACATCAAACCAGACCGCATCTCACGATTTCTGAATAATTATCGATTAACGGTCACTAATCACCACACTTTTTTGTTGGAGTTGACAAGATGGTGATGACGGTATCAGATCTTTTGTTAGTTTTATCATCAGCTCCCCAAGACGGTCTCACGTGACTGATCTGTACACTTGCTTAAAGTGATTATGCCATTTCTTCCACAAGCAAATATTTCCCTAAAGTCCAAATCGGTCTGATGAGTGTTCTCACTGTGTATGTTTAGTGTCTATTTTGGTCCCAGTAGGTGTCTGAGTAGTCCATATCTTTTGTTAAATTGTTAAATTCTTCTCTTTTTAATCTTATATGGGGTTCCATGTAAGACAGCTGAGTAAAGCCCAAGGTAGCCGAGTTGGTTGGATGGTATTACCTTCTTTATATGCATTAGGTCTGACGTTTAAGCATAAATGTTCCTTGTTGGTGTTTTGATCGTTCAACTTGATCCGCTGAGTACACCATTCAGTGATGAGGTTCAGATGTTGTTGGATCGCTATCCAACTCTGTCCGCACAGATTGTGAGTTGGGTGTTTGGAGTGTAGGTATGTCAGCAGTGTAGATGGTGCAAATGGATGGATCGTGGATTTCCATAAGGCAGGAAATTAAATAACTAAGAACAGAATTGAAGATTTTCTGTTACAACTTAACAAGAGGCACAATCTCCGATTAATAATAATACGTTCATCAAAACCATACCCCTTCCATTAAATATGACCAAAAACTGCGCACTGTGTTACGTATTATTGACAAAAGCAATAATTATAAAATATTATATCATCAAAGACAGATAAAAATCCCGCAACCGGCGGACGGCGAGTTTTCTTCCACCGCGAAAAATATAAACGCGGAAAACGTGATGTGGAAGGTTATGAGGCAATGTCAACCGAGGGGGATTACATAAAATCTAGAGCACGGGCCGCGCGCACCGTGAAAACCCCATCTTCTGGAAGATTGCCGGATCGTTTTATTAGCAGTACGACTTCTAAACCTAACAAATTCAAACTAGTTACGTTCGTTGATTCACATTTTATAAAGATTAAATTGTAATAATTAATTTCTTAATTAATAATAATAATAATAATAATGTGGGAAGTTTAGGGGCCGACAAACAGCTAAGGTCATCGCCGGCCCTCTGAGTGTTTTGATTTATCAATTAATTAAGGTTTTTAGTCAAGGTGAAAAAAAGTTAATTGCACCAGCGGGATTCGAACCCACGATCTTAGGCTCAATACGCCGCTGCTCTACCACTTGAGCTATCGTGACCTCGATCCACTCGGACACTAACTTCCCATCTCAACCCCACCTTTTATGAATTTTCCTTTGAATTTTTAGGTTAGTGTCCGAGTTGATCGAGGTCACGATAGCTCAAGTGGTAGAGCAGCGGCGTATCTAGCCGAAGATCGTGAGTTCGAATCCCGCTCGTGCACTGTTTTTTTTATCTCAACTAAAAACCTTAATTAATTGAAAGATATTAATTAGTCAAGCGGACCACGAAAACTAGTGAGTTTTTATTTATTTTACTGGATTTTACAGCCTGCAGCCATTTGAGCGTCTCAATCTGTCTTTTATATAAAAACAAACAAACGGATGACCAGATTGGTGGATCACGGATTTGGACGAAACTTTTCTTTTTGGTGATTCTGCCAAAATATCGAACACGTGTACGTCACTTCTTGTTAATAGGCCCTGGTTTTGCCAATTTGTTTTTGCAATTTGAAATTTTCCTTTTTTTTTAAATATTTTTATTTCGCCTTTATACTTGCTCAAATCAACTATGTATATCATTTTACAGCATTTTTCATGTAGATTGCAGTAAAAATATAGTATTGTAAAAGCCATCCTAGTTTATCCATAAGCAAAAACTATTTAAAAACCAAAAATTTTGGAAAAGTGGGGTCTTTAGAGAATAAGTATACATTTAATCAATTACAACCATTATAAATAGACCTACGGGAATTCTTGATAAACCGAGTTAATCGGGTTAATGAAGCGTTTTTGCAAAATCAAATTTTAGTCATGAGCATAAATTGTTATTTAGAGATTTAAAAAATATTTGACCACAACCCAATCCACGAGACTATTATAGAGTAAGGGTTGGTTGATCGCATCGTTTTAAAAATGTATGATTGTTTGTGTATTAATTTCATTGTTGGTTAATATAAAATCAAAAATGTTCTACGACGAAGATATTCTAATTCGGTACGATTTAAAAAAAAAATCAACAAAATACCGCATTTTTTGCATATTTTCACAAACGTAAGCAATGTGGAAAATGGTGAAAACTATGATTTGACCTCATTGTCGTGAATCTAGCTTTATAAAACCCTTAGAAACCAACTTTCGCTGGAATCGGTGTAAATTAATTTTTTGACTAATAATTTCGACGACCTTCTGCGGGACTGACATTACGAGTGGAAGCTGTAACATCATTTTTCTCAAAACCTAGGAGACCGATTTTCATGTCTGATAATTCTTTTTTAAGAAATTGTCAAGTGCATTTTATAACTGTATCAAACATTACAATCGGACTATTATTTCAATTTATAAAACGAGGTTAATTTCTGATAAATAATTTTGTAATTTTGCGTATTTTCTATACAAATATTTTATATATTTTAATGGGACATAGGCCGTTAAAAAGCTACGTTCCACTTTTTTCAATTTTTTTTGCGTAAAAATCCTTTTGGCAGTATTTGAATTATAGCAGTTTCTATTAGATATTTTCTATTAGATAACGACTCCTCAAAAATAATAAAAAATTTAGGGGTCAAAAAATCGGTAAATTAGAGTTCAAACAAAAATTTATATTTAGGGGTCTCTAGGGGTGTTAAACGAAATTTCATATTAGTACTAATTTTATCAGCTTCTATTATAGCTTCTTTATTATTCTAGAAAGTCGTGGGTTCGAATCCCGCCTGTGACACAAATTTTCATTTCGGAAAAAATTGTGTATAATTAATTGAGTATTTCATATTAGTTTCAAGAAAAAAATTATAACCTAGTTTACTTCAAAATATTTGTTTTTTAGACATTTTCGTTTATTGATAAACTTGGATACCTTTTACTATATTTTTATGGCAATCTACATAAAAAATCTAATTAAAAATGGTGTATATATTCTCATAGTTGTTTTGAGCAAGTAGGAAGGCGAAATAAAAATACACCGATGGACCAAATTAACGCACCACCCTCAAATTTTAATTTATTTAGGTTCATTCATATTTTGCACACCGAAAATAGGTTTGGTTGTACAAATAAGCCATTTAAAAAGAAAATGCTTATTACCTTATTCTAAAAAAAATATTGAGTAAAAAAACCGAAAATTCAAAAACAAATAAACACGTAATCAACTTTTTTGTCCACTTTAACATCGAGTATTTCCACCTCTGGCACGAATCACGTCTTTTAAATGCCTTTGCATTCCTTTGAAAAGATTTCTGATCCTGAGGAATTCTTTCCCATTCATTAAGACCAGCCGTTTCCAACTGTTCTGGGGTGTTACGATCTGGGTTTCGCCTCGGTCTTCATGGTCATATTTGATGTATTTGATGATGTGTATGTTAAATATTTCTTTTAGTCAAATATTGTATTGCAGTCAAATAGTTCTTTTTTGTTTTTGTTTGCCTTTCCACAATTTGACACAAATCGTGGTACAACAAACAAAAACAACGGTTGACACATGGACACCTGCTTTTGGGCCAAAGCCCGCGCAGGTGGCCCTTATGCAGAGAAAGGTTGCTCGATGTGTCCCACATAATAGAGGCGTGTCATGCCTTTGCGCCATACAGAGAACGTGTAGGCATGCCGCCAGACTTAAGAAAGGTTCTCGAGCAGCGAGTTTCAGGGTCCCCTGTTCCGCTTTTTAGGGGAAATTAGAGTTTTTTAATGTATATAGTATGTCTTATGTGTTGTGTGTATATATGTTTTGTCTGAGTGCATGTATTTATTAGCGTGAATGGTGAGGGGTGAGGGTGAAATATAACATCATCATCGCCCCTCGAACGTTGAGAGCGTATGAGTGTATCTTAGGGGTCGATGGCGGAATATTTATAAAAGTACTCCTTCGACCCCAATCTAGATTAGTGTGAGTATAGGTCGGTGGAGGAATATCAAGTACTCCACCGACCAAACGGAATGAGTGTATTGTATGAATGTATTTATTTGTATGAATGTAGTGTTTGAAAGTGTAAATAGAATAATATTGACTTAGTTTGGGGCTGAAATGACCTAGATGTCGGAAGCCCCAGGAAAAAAAAATAAAAAACATAAAACAATTATTTATCCCATTCAACCACATTCCTTTAACTGAATTACTAAACATTCCTGTAATATACAATAAAATGTAATTTTTAACTTTTTTTATTAAAAAGTGAGTTAAATATGGTGTATAACCAATTAAACAATAAGGTAATTACGAGGTAGGAAATATTTTTCTTGCAATTATTTCTTCTAGCTACAACAACGACAAATACCTAAAAGACGATACAAACTTCATTCTAGATTTTTACAGACGATCCCTTAACAATAAAACACTAATCTATAACTCATTACTTAAACCGATATGGACTTACTATATGAAAATACGGGGCTGAGCCGAAGCATCCAACAAAAGTACCCTTCATCATCCCCTGTTTCCCACGGCATCAAGTAAAGGTATAAAAAAATTCCACTGCTCACTGGTCATCCCAATCCCTGAGCAACACAAATTTCCTCAGCCATGCTTCCCAATACTCCACAACTACAAATTCAGCTAGTGAACGGAGAAAATTTTGAGTTTAATTTCATGTACCACGATTTATTAAAGTCAAAAACTGAGGACCTTTAGTTCATGCGATTTCTCACGTAAAATTGTCAACGGAGTACAATATTTAAAATTTAATTTGTTGAAAGGATAATGTAATTAATTTTTTTTATACAG